GTTTAGACAGCAATCCATTATGAAATAAAAAAAAAACCAATTAGCGTGTCATGCTTAGAATTCTAGAGGCAGCACGACCAACATGAGTTTTCTGTGTTTTGGACAAAGAAATGGACCCTTTGCAGAGGGGAACGATAATTAATTCACCCAATCAGTTTTGCCAGAGATTTTCAGGTGAATTGAATGAGTTTTCCAAAGCCAGTTCAGCTGGGAGGTGTGGATGAATCCGGAAACAGCCTGTTTCCTTGTGACTAAATCAAGCCCACTATCAAAAGGACTCTTCCTTTCTTTGACGCTCTTTTCACATTTTTCTTATTTCTCATGGTTTGTAATGACTTTTCTGATGTGACTTTGATTTTGAGGCTGGAATATGGAGTTCAAGACCCGGAAGGAATGGTCTTTTTCAATCAGGGCACAGCTGTTGGCTTGCTCCCAATTCTGGCTTTCTGTCATGGTTTTGGTGCCTCAGCCGAGTTTTGGTTTTCTTGAGCGGCAATTTCCGAAATGATTTCTGTGGTCTGAGTTGGTTTGCCTTCTTCCTTCCCAAATTTTGTTATTCTAGACGCATACAACACGAGGTTTAGACAGCAGATCCATTATGAAATAAAAAAAAAAACAAAACCAATGAGCGTGTCATGCTTAGAATTCTAGAGGCAGCACACGACCAACATGAGTTTTTGTGTTTTGGAAAAAGAAATGGAACCCTTTTGCAGAGGGGGAACGATAATGAATTCCCCAAATCAGTTTGCCAGCGATTTTCAGGTGAATTGAATGAGTTTTCCAAAGCCAGTCAGCTGGGAGGGGTGGATGAATCCGGAAACAGCCTGTTTCCTTGTGACTAATCAAGCCCACTATCAAAAAGGACTCTTCCATTTCTTTGGCTCTTTTCACATTTTCTTCTTATCATGGTTTGTAATGAATTTTCTGATGTGAGCGTTGATTTTGAGGCTGGAATATGGAGTTCAAGACACGGAAGGAATGGTCTTTTTCAATCAGGGCACAGCTGTTGGCTTGCTCCAATTCTGGCTTTCTGTCATGGTTTTGGGTGCCTCAGCCGAGCTTTGGTTTCTTGAGCGGCAATTTCCTAAATGATTTCTGGGTCTGAGTTGGTTTTGCCTTCTTCCTTCCCAAATTTTGTATTCTGACGCAATACAAACACGAGTTTAGACAGCAGATCCATTATGAAATAAAAAAAACAAAACCAATTAGCGTGTCATGCTTAGAATTCTAGAGGCAGCACGACCAACATGAGTTTTGTGTTTTGGAAAAAGAAATGGAACCCTTTTGCAGAGGGGAACGATAATTAATTCCCCAAATCAGTTTGCCAGCGATTTTCAGGTGAATTGAATGAGTTTTCCAAAGCCAGTCAGCTGGGAGGGGTGGATGAATCCGGAAACAGCCTGTTTCCTTGTGACTAAATCAAGCCCACTATCAAAAAGGACTCTTCATTTCTTTGGCTCTTTTCACATTTTTCTTCTTTATCATGGTTTGTAATGAATTTTCTGATGTGAGCTTTGATTTTGAGGCTGGAATATGGAGTTCAAGACACGGAAGGAATGGTCTTTTTCAATCAGGGCACAGCTGTTGGCTTGCTCCAATTCTGGCTTTCTGTCATGGTTTTGGGTGCCTCAGCCGAGTTTTGGTTTCTTGAGCGGCAATTTCCTAAAGGATTTCTGGGTCTGAGTTGGTTTTGCCTTCTTCCTTCCCAAATTTTGTATTCTGACGCAATACAAACACGAGTTTAGACAGCAGATCCATTATGAAAGAAAAAAAAAACAAAACCAATTAGCGTGTCATGCTTAGAATTCTAGAGGCAGCACGACCAACATGAGTTTTTGTGTTTTGGAAAAAGAAATGGAACCCTTTTGCAGAGGGGAACGATAATTAATTCCCCAAATCAGTTTGCCAGCGATTTCAGGTGAATTGAATGAGTTTTCCAAAGCCAGTCAGCTGGGAGGGGTGGATGAATCCGAAACAGCCTGTTTCCTTGTGACTAAATCAAGCCCACTATCAAAAAGGACTCTTCCATTTCTTTGGCTCTTTTCACATTTTTCTTCTTTATCATGGTTTGTAATGAATTTTCTGATGTGAGCTTTGATTTTGAGGCTGGAATATGGAGTTCAAGACACGGAAGGAATGGTCTTTTTCAATCAGGGCACAGCTGTTGGCTTGCTCCAATTCTGGCTTTCTGTCATGGTTTTGGGTGCCTCAGCCGAGTTTTGGTTTCTTGAGCGGCAATTTCCTAAAGGATTTCTGGGTCTGAGTTGGTTTTGCCTTCTTCCTTCCCAAATTTTGTATTCTGACGCAATACAAACACGAGTTTAGACAGCAGATCCATTATGAAATAAAAAAAACAAAACCAATTAGCGTGTCATGCTTAGAATTCTAGAGGCAGCACGACCAACATGAGTTTTGTGTTTTGGAAAAAGAAATGGAACCCTTTTGCAGAGGGGAACGATAATTAATTCCCCAAATCAGTTTGCCAGCGATTTTCAGGTGAATTGAATGAGTTTTCCAAAGCCAGTCAGCTGGGAGGGGTGGATGAATCCGGAAACAGCCTGTTTCCTTGTGACTAAATCAAGCCCACTATCAAAAAGGACTCTTCCATTTCTTTGGCTCTTTTCACATTTTTCTTCTTTATCATGGTTTGTAATGAATTTTCTGATGTGAGCTTTGATTTTGAGGCTGGAATATGGAGTTCAAGACACGGAAGGAATGGTCTTTTTCAATCAGGGCACAGCTGTTGGCTTGCTCCAATTCTGGCTTTCTGTCATGGTTTTGGGTGCCTCAGCCGAGTTTTGGTTTCTTGAGCGGCAATTTCCTAAAGGATTTCTGGGTCTGAGTTGGTTTTGCCTTCTTCCTTCCCAAATTTTGTATTCTGACGCAATACAAACACGAGTTTAGACAGCAGATCCATTATGAAAGAAAAAAAAAACAAAACCAATGAGCGTGTCATGCTTAGAATTCTAGAGGCAGCACGACCAACATGAGTTTTTGTGTTTTGGAAAAAGAAATGGAACCCTTTTGCAGAGGGGAACGATAATTAATTCCCCAAATCAGTTTGCCAGCGATTTTCAGGTGAATTGAATGAGTTTTCCAAAGCCAGTCAGCTGGGAGGGGTGGATGAATCCGGAAACAGCCTGTTTCCTTGTGACTAAATCAAGCCCACTATCAAAAAGGACTCTTCCATTTCTTTGGCTCTTTTCACATTTTTCTTCTTTATCATGGTTTGTAATGAATTTTCTGATGTGAGCTTTGATTTTGAGGCTGGAATATGGAGTTCAAGACACGGAAGGAATGGTCTTTTTCAATCAGGGCACAGCTGTTGGCTTGCTCCAATTCTGGCTTTCTGTCATGGTTTTGGGTGCCTCAGCCGAGTTTTGGTTTCTTGAGCGGCAATTTCCTAAAGGATTTCTGGGTCTGAGTTGGTTTTGCCTTCTTCCTTCCCAAATTTTGTATTCTGACGCAATACAAACACGAGTTTAGACAGCAGATCCATTATGAAATAAAAAAAAACAAAACCAATGAGCGTGTCATGCTTAGAATTCTAGAGGCAGCACGACCAACATGAGTTTTGTGTTTTGGAAAAAGAAATGGAACCCTTTTGCAGAGGGGAACGATAATTAATTCCCCAATCAGTTTGCCAGCGATTTTCAGGTGAATTGAATGAGTTTTCCAAAGCCAGTCAGCTGGGAGGGGTGGATGAATCCGGAAACAGCCTGTTTCCTTGTGACTAAATCAAGCCCACTATCAAAAAGGACTCTTCCATTTCTTTGGCTCTTTTCACATTTTTCTTCTTTATCATGGTTTGTAATGAATTTTCTGATGTGAGCTTTGATTTTGAGGCTGGAATATGGAGTTCAAGACACGGAAGGAATGGTCTTTTTCAATCAGGGCACAGCTGTTGGCTTGCTCCAATTCTGGCTTTCTGTCATGGTTTTGGGTGCCTCAGCCGAGTTTTGGTTTCTTGAGCGGCAATTTCCTAAAGGATTTCTGGGTCTGAGTTGGTTTTGCCTTCTTCCTTCCCAAATTTTGTATTCTGACGCAATACAAACACGAGTTTAGACAGCAGATCCATTATGAAATAAAAAAAAACAAAACCAATGAGCGTGTCATGCTTAGAATTCTAGAGGCAGCACGACCAACATGAGTTTTGTGTTTTGGAAAAAGAAATGGAACCCTTTTGCAGAGGGGAACGATAATTAATTCCCCAAATCAGTTTGCCAGCGATTTTCAGGTGAATTGAATGAGTTTTCCAAAGCCAGTCAGCTGGGAGGGGTGGATGAATCCGGAAACAGCCTGTTTCCTTGTGACTAAATCAAGCCCACTATCAAAAAGGACTCTTCCATTTCTTTGGCTCTTTTCACATTTTTCTTCTTTATCATGGTTTGTAATGAATTTTCTGATGTGAGCTTTGATTTTGAGGCTGGAATATGGAGTTCAAGACACGGAAGGAATGGTCTTTTTCAATCAGGGCACAGCTGTTGGCTTGCTCCAATTCTGGCTTTCTGTCATGGTTTTGGGTGCCTCAGCCGAGTTTGGTTTCTTGAGCGGCAATTTCCTAAAGGATTTCTGGGTCTGAGTTGGTTTTGCCTTCTTCCTTCCCAAATTTTGTATTCTGACGCAATACAAACACGAGTTTAGACAGCAGATCCATTATGAAATAAAAAAAAAACAAAACCAATGAGCGTGTCATGCTTAGAATTCTAGAGGCAGCACGACCAACATGAGTTTTGTGTTTTGGAAAAAGAAATGGAACCCTTTTGCAGAGGGGAACGATAATTAATTCCCCAAATCAGTTTGCCAGCGATTTTCAGGTGAATTGAATGAGTTTTCCAAAGCCAGTCAGCTGGGAGGGGTGGATGAATCCGGAAACAGCCTGTTTCCTTGTGACTAAATCAAGCCCACTATCAAAAAGGACTCTTCCATTTCTTTGGCTCTTTTCACATTTTTCTTCTTTATCATGGTTTGTAATGAATTTTCTGATGTGAGCTTTGATTTTGAGGCTGGAATATGGAGTTCAAGACACGGAAGGAATGGTCTTTTTCAATCAGGGCACAGCTGTTGGCTTGCTCCAATTCTGGCTTTCTGTCATGGTTTTGGGTGCCTCAGCCGAGTTTTGGTTTCTTGAGCGGCAATTTCCTAAAGGATTTCTGGGTCTGAGTTGGTTTTGCCTTCTTCCTTCCCAAATTTTGTATTCTGACGCAATACAAACACGAGTTTAGACAGCAGATCCATTATGAAAGAAAAAAAAACAAAACCAATGAGCGTGTCATGCTTAGAATTCTAGAGGCAGCACGACCAACATGAGTTTTTGTGTTTTGGAAAAAGAAATGGAACCCTTTTGCAGAGGGGAACGATAATTAATTCCCCAATCAGTTTGCCAGCGATTTTCAGGTGAATTGAATGAGTTTTCCAAAGCCAGTCAGCTGGGAGGGGTGGATGAATCCGGAAACAGCCTGTTTCCTTGTGACTAAATCAAGCCCACTATCAAAAAGGACTCTTCCATTTCTTTGGCTCTTTTCACATTTTTCTTCTTTATCATGGTTTGTAATGAATTTTCTGATGTGAGCTTTGATTTTGAGGCTGGAATATGGAGTTCAAGACACGGAAGGAATGGTCTTTTTCAATCAGGGCACAGCTGTTGGCTTGCTCCAATTCTGGCTTTCTGTCATGGTTTTGGGTGCCTCAGCCGAGTTTTGGTTTCTTGAGCGGCAATTTCCTAAAGGATTTCTGGGTCTGAGTTGGTTTTGCCTTCTTCCTTCCCAAATTTTGTATTCTGACGCAATACAAACACGAGTTTAGACAGCAGATCCATTATGAAATAAAAAAAAAAAACAAAACCAATGAGCGTGTCATGCTTAGAATTCTAGAGGCAGCACGACCAACATGAGTTTTGTGTTTTGGAAAAAGAAATGGAACCCTTTTGCAGAGGGGAACGATAATTAATTCCCCAAATCAGTTTGCCAGCGATTTTCAGGTGAATTGAATGAGTTTTCCAAAGCCAGTCAGCTGGGAGGGGTGGATGAATCCGGAAACAGCCTGTTTCCTTGTGACTAAATCAAGCCCACTATCAAAAAGGACTCTTCCATTTCTTTGGCTCTTTTCACATTTTTCTTCTTTATCATGGTTTGTAATGAATTTTCTGATGTGAGCTTTGATTTTGAGGCTGGAATATGGAGTTCAAGACACGGAAGGAATGGTCTTTTTCAATCAGGGCACAGCTGTTGGCTTGCTCCAATTCTGGCTTTCTGTCATGGTTTTGGGTGCCTCAGCCGAGTTTTGGTTTCTTGAGCGGCAATTTCCTAAAGGATTTCTGGGTCTGAGTTGGTTTTGCCTTCTTCCTTCCCAAATTTTGTATTCTGACGCAATACAAACACGAGTTTAGACAGCAGATCCATTATGAAATAAAAAAAACAAAACCAATGAGCGTGTCATGCTTAGAATTCTAGAGGCAGCACGACCAACATGAGTTTTTGTGTTTTGGAAAAAGAAATGGAACCCTTTTGCAGAGGGGAACGATAATTAATTCCCCAAATCAGTTTGCCAGCGATTTTCAGGTGAATTGAATGAGTTTTCCAAAGCCAGTCAGCTGGGAGGGGTGGATGAATCCGGAAACAGCCTGTTTCCTTGTGACTAAATCAAGCCCACTATCAAAAAGGACTCTTCCATTTCTTTGGCTCTTTCACATTTTTCTTCTTTATCATGGTTTGTAATGAATTTTCTGATGTGAGCTTTGATTTTGAGGCTGGAATATGGAGTTCAAGACACGGAAGGAATGGTCTTTTTCAATCAGGGCACAGCTGTTGGCTTGCTCCAATTCTGGCTTTCTGTCATGGTTTTGGGTGCCTCAGCCGAGTTTTGGTTTCTTGAGCGGCAATTTCCTAAAGGATTTCTGGGTCTGAGTTGGTTTTGCCTTCTTCCTTCCCAAATTTTGTATTCTGACGCAATACAAACACGAGTTTAGACAGCAGATCCATTATGAAATAAAAAAAAACAAAACCAATGAGCGTGTCATGCTTAGAATTCTAGAGGCAGCACGACCAACATGAGTTTTTGTGTTTTGGAAAAAGAAATGGAACCCTTTTGCAGAGGGGAACGATAATTAATTCCCCAAATCAGTTTGCCAGCGATTTTCAGGTGAATTGAATGAGTTTTCCAAAGCCAGTCAGCTGGGAGGGGTGGATGAATCCGGAAACAGCCTGTTTCCTTGTGACTAAATCAAGCCCACTATCAAAAAGGACTCTTCCATTTCTTTGGCTCTTTTCACATTTTTCTTCTTTATCATGGTTTGTAATGAATTTTCTGATGTGAGCTTTGATTTTGAGGCTGGAATATGGAGTTCAAGACACGGAAGGAATGGTCTTTTTCAATCAGGGCACAGCTGTTGGCTTGCTCCAATTCTGGCTTTCTGTCATGGTTTTGGGTGCCTCAGCCGAGTTTTGGTTTCTTGAGCGGCAATTTCCTAAAGGATTTCTGGGTCTGAGTTGGTTTTGCCTTCTTCCTTCCCAAATTTTGTATTCTGACGCAATACAAACACGAGTTTAGACAGCAGATCCATTATGAAATAAAAAAAAAACAAAACCAATGAGCGTGTCATGCTTAGAATTCTAGAGGCAGCACGACCAACATGAGTTTTGTGTTTTGGAAAAAGAAATGGAACCCTTTTGCAGAGGGGAACGATAATTAATTCCCCAAATCAGTTTGCCAGCGATTTTCAGGTGAATTGAATGAGTTTTCCAAAGCCAGTCAGCTGGGAGGGGTGGATGAATCCGGAAACAGCCTGTTTCCTTGTGACTAAATCAAGCCCACTATCAAAAAGGACTCTTCCATTTCTTTGGCTCTTTTCACATTTTTCTTCTTTATCATGGTTTGTAATGAATTTTCTGATGTGAGCTTTGATTTGAGGCTGGAATATGGAGTTCAAGACACGGAAGGAATGGTCTTTTTCAATCAGGGCACAGCTGTTGGCTTGCTCCAATTCTGGCTTTCTGTCATGGTTTTGGGTGCCTCAGCCGAGTTTTGGTTTCTTGAGCGGCAATTTCCTAAAGGATTTCTGGGTCTGAGTTGGTTTTGCCTTCTTCCTTCCCAAATTTTGTATTCTGACGCAATACAAACACGAGTTTAGACAGCAGATCCATTATGAAATAAAAAAAAACAAAACAAATTAGCGTGTCATGCTTAGAATTCTAGAGGCAGCACGACCAACATGAGTTTCTGTGTTTTGGAAAAAGAAATGGAACCCTTTTGCAGAGGGGAACGATAATTAATTCCCCAATCAGTTTGCCAGCGATTTTCAGGTGAATTGAATGAGTTTTCCAAAGCCAGTCAGCTGGGAGGGGTGGATGAATCCGGAAACAGCCTGTTCCTTGTGACTAAATCAAGCCCACTATCAAAAAGGACTCTTGCATTTCTTTGGCTCTTTTCACATTTTTCTTATTTATCATGGTTTGTAATGAATTTTCTGATGTGAGCTTTGATTTTGAGGCTGGAATATGGAGTTCAAGACCCGGAAGGAATGGTCTTTTTCAATCAGGGCACAGCTGTTGGCTTGCTCCAATTCTGGCTTTCTGTCATGGTTTTGGGTGCCTCAGCCGAGCTTTGGTTTCTTGAGCGGCAATTTCCTAAAGGATTTCTGGGTCTGAGTTGGTTTTGCCTTCTTCCTTCCCAAATTTTGTATTCTGACGCAATACAAACACGAGTTTAGACAGCAGATCCATTATGAAAGAAAAAAAACAAAACCAATGAGCGTGTCATGCTTAGAATTCTAGAGGCAGCACGACCAACATGAGTTTCTGTGTTTTGGAAAAAGAAATGGAACCCTTTTGCAGAGGGGAACGATAATTAATTCCCCCAATCAGTTTGCCAGCGATTTTCAGGTGAATTGAATGAGTTTTCCAAAGCCAGTCAGCTGGGAGGGGTGGATGAATCCAGAAACAGCCTGTTTCCTTGTGACTAAATCAAGCCCACTATCAAAAAGGACTCTTCCATTTCTTTGGCTCTTTTCACATTTTTCTTCTTTATCATGGTTTGTAATGAATTTTCTGATGTGAGCTTTGATTTTGAGGCTGGAATATGGAGTTCAAGACACGGAAGGTATGGTCTTTTTCAATCAGGGCACAGCTGCTGGCTTGCTCCAATTCTGACTTTCTGTCATGGTTTTGGGTGCCTCAGCCTAGCTTTGGTTTCTTGAGCGGCAATTTCCTAAATGATTTCTGGGTCTCAGTTGGTTTTGCCTTCTTCCTTCCCAAATTTTGTATTCTGACTCAATACATACACGAGTTTAGACAGCAGATCCATTATTAAAGAAAGAAACAAAAACCAATGAGCGTGTCATGCTTAAGAATTCTAGAGGCAGCACGACCAACATGAGTTTCTGTGTTTTGGAAAAAGAAATGGAACCCTTTTGCAGAGGGGAACTGATAATTAATTCCCCCAATCAGTTTGCCAGCGATTTTCAGGTGAATTGAATGAGTTTTCCAAAGCCAGTCAGCTGGGAGGGGTGGATGAATCCAGAAACAGCCTGTTTCCTTGTGACTAAATCAAGCCCACTATCAAAAAGGACTCTTCCATTTCTTTGGCTCTTTTCACAGTTTTCTTATTTCTCATGGTTTGTAATGAATTTTCTGATGTGAGCTTTGATTTTGAGGCTGGAATATGGAGTTCAAGACCCGGAAGGAATGGTCTTTTTCAATCAGGGCACAGCTGTTGGCTTGCTCCAATTCTGGCTTTCTGTCATGGTTTTGGGTGCCTCAGCCGAGTTTTGGTTTCTTGAGCGGCAATTTCCTAAAGGATTTCTGGGTCTGAGTTGGTTTTGCCTTCTTCCTTCCCAAATTTTGTATTCTGACGCAATACAAACACGAGTTTAGACAGCAGATCCATTATGAAAGAAAAAACAAAACCAATTAGCGTGTCATGCTTAGAATTCTAGAGGCAGCACGACCAACATGAGTTTTTGTGTTTTGGACAAAGAAATGGAACCCTTTTGCAGAGGGGAATGATAATTAATTCCCCAAATCAGTTTGCCAGCGATTTTCAGGTGAATTGAATGAGTTTTCCAAAGCCAGTCAGCTGGAGGGGTGGATGAATCCGGAAACAGCCTGTTTCCTTGTGACTAAATCAAGCCCACTCTCAAAAAGGACTCTTCCATTTCTTTGGCTCTATTCACAGTTTTCTTCTTTATCATGGTTTGTAATGAATTTTCTGATGTGAGCTTTGATTTTGAGGTTGGAATATGGAGTTCAAGACACGGAAGGAATGGTCTTTTTCAATCAGGGCACAGCTGTTGGCTTGCTCCAATTCTGGCTTTCTGTCATGGTTTTGGGTGCCTCAGCCGAGTTTTGGTTTCTTGAGCGGCAATTTCCTAAAGGATTTCTGGGTCTGAGTTGGTTTTGCCTCCTTCCTTGCCAAATTTTGTATACTGACGCAATACAAACACGAGTTTAGACAGCAGATCCATTATGAAAGAAAAAACAAAACAAATAAGCCAGTCAGCTGGGAGGGGTGGATGAATCCGGAAACAGCCTGTTTCCTTGTGACTAAATCAAGCCCACTATCAAAAAGGACTCTTCCATTTCTTTGGCTCTTTTCACAGTTTTCTTATTTCTCATGGTTTGTAATGAATTTTCTGATGTGAGCTTTGATTTTGAGGCTGGAATATGGAGTTCAAGACACGGAAGGAATGGTCTTTTTCAATCAGGGCACAGCTGTTGGCTTGCTCCAATTCTGGCTTTCTGTCATGGTTTTGGGTACCTCAGCCGAGTTTTGGTTTCTTGAGCGGCAATTTCCTAAAGGATTTCTGGGTCTGAGTTGGTTTTGCCTTCTTCCTTCCCAAATTTTGTATTCTGACGCAATACAAACACGAGTTTAGACAGCAGATCCATTATGAAAGAAAAAAACAAAACCAATTAGCGTGTCATGCTTAGAATTCTAGAGGCAGCACGACCAACATGAGTTTTTGTGTTTTGGACAAAGAAATGGAACCCTTTTGCAGAGGGGAATGATAATTAATTCCCCAAATCAGTTTGCCAGCGATTTTCAGGTGAATTGAAGGAGTTTTCCAAAGCCAGTCAGCTGGAGGGGTGGATGAATCCGGAAACATCGCATTTCCTTGTGACTAAATCAAGCCCACTCTCAAAAAGGACTCTTCCATTTCTTTGGCTCTTTTCACAGTTTTCTTATTTCTCATGGTTTGTAATGAATTTTCTGATGTGAGCTTTGATTTGAGGCTGGAATATGGAGTTCAAGACACGGAAGGAATGGTCTTTTTCAATCAGGGCACAGCTGTTGGCTTGCTCCAATTCTGGCTTTCTGTCATGGTTTTGGGTGCCTCAGCCGAGTTTTGGTTTCTTGAGCGGCAATTTCCTAAAGGATTTCTGGGTCTGAGTTGGATTTGCCTCCTTCCTTGCCAAATTTTGTATTCTGACGCAATACAAACACGAGTTTAGAAAGCAGATCCATTATAAAAAAAACAAAACAAAACAAAACAAATAAGCCAGTCAGCTGGGAGGGGTGGATGAATCCGGAAACAGCCTGTTTCCTTGTGACTAAATCAAGCCCACTATCAAAAAGGACTCTTCCATTTCTTTGGCTCTTTTCACATTTTTCTTCTTTATCATGGTTTGTAATGAATTTTCTGATGTGAGCTTTGATTTTGAGGCTGGAATATGGAGCTCAAGGCAGGGAATGAGGTCTTTTTCAATCAGGGCACAGCTGTTGGCTTGCTCCAATTCTGCCTTCTGTCATGGTTTTCAGTGCCTCAGCTGAGTTTTGGTTTCTTGAGCGGCAATTTCCTAAATGATTTCTGGGTCTGAGTTGGTTTCGCCTTTTCCTTCCCAAATTTTGTATTCTGACGCAATACAAACACGAGTTTAGACAGCAGATCCATTATGAAAGAAAAAACAAAACCAATTAGCGTATCATGCTTAGAATTCTAGAGGCAGCACGACCAACATGAGTTTTTGTGTTTTGGAAAAAGAAATGGAACCCTTTTGCAGAGGGGAACGATCATTAATTCCCCAAATCAGTTTGCCAGCATTTTTCAGGTGAATTGAATGAGTTTTCCAAAGCCAGTCAGCTGGGAGGGGTGGATGAATCCGGAAACAGCCTGTTTCCTTGTGACTAAATCAAGCCCACTATCAAAAAGGACTCTTGCATTTCTTTGGCTCTTTTCACATTTTTCTTCTTTATCATGGTTTGTAATGAATTTTCTGATGTGAGCTTTGATTTTGAGGCTGGAATATGGAGTTCAAGACACGGAAGGAATTGCCTTTTTCAATCAGGGCACAGCTGTTGGCTTGCTCCAATTCTGGCTTTCTGTCATGGTTTTGGGTGCCTCAGCCGAGTTTTGGTTTCTTGAGCGGCAATTTCCTGAAGGATTTCTGGGTCTGAGTTGGTTTTGCCTTCTTCCTTCCCAAATTTTGTATTCTGACGCAATACAAACACGAGTTTAGACAGCAGATCCACTATGAAATAAAAAAAAAAAAAACAACCAATTAGCGTGTCATGCTTAGAATTCTAGAGGCAGCACGACCAACATGAGTTTTTGTATTTTGGACAAAGAAATGGAACCCTTTTGCAGAGGGGAACGATCATTAATTCCCCAAATCAGTTTGCCAGCGATTTTCAGGTGAATTGAAGGAGTTTTCCAAAGCCAGTCAGCTGGGAGGGTGGATGAATCCGGAAACAGCCTGTTTCCTTGTGACTAAATCAAGCCCACTATCAAAAAGGACTCTTCCATTGCTTTGGCTCTTTTCACAGTTTTCTTATTTCTCATGGTTTGTAATGAATTTTCTGATGTGAGCTTTGATTTTGAGGCTGGAATATGGAATTCAAGACACGGAAGCAATGGTCTTTTTCAATCAGGGCACAGCTGTTGGCTTGCTCCAATTCTGGCTTTCTGTCATGGTTTTGGGTGCCTCAGCCGAGTTTTGGTTTCTTGAGCGGCAATTTCCTAAAGGATTTCTGGGTCTGAGTTGGTTTTGCCTTCTTCCTTCCCAAATTTTGTATTCTGACACAATACAAACACGAGTTTAGACAGCAGATCCATTATGAAAGAAAAAAACAAAATCAATTAGCATGTCATGCTTAGAATTCTAGAGGCAGCACGACCAACATGAGTTTTTGTGTTTTGGAAAAAGAAATGGAACACTTTTGCAGAGGGGAACGATAATTAATTCCCCAAATCAGTTTGCCAGCGATTTTCAGGTGAATTGAATGAGTTTTCCAAAGCCCGTCAGCAGGGAGCGGTGGATGAATCCGGAAACAGCCTGTTTCCTTGTGACTAAATCAAGCCCACTATCAACAAGGACTCTTCCATTTCTTTGGCTCTTTTCACATTTGTCTTCTTTATCATGGTTTGTAATGAATTTTCTGATGTGAGCTTTGATTTGAGGCTGGAATATGGAGTTCAAGACACGGAAGGAATGGTCTTTTTCAATCAGGGCACAGCTGTTGGCTTGCTCCAATTCTGGCTTTCTGTCATGGTTTTGGGTGCCTCAGCCGAGTTTTGGTTTCTTGAGCGGCAATTTCCTAAATGATTTCTGGGTCTGAGTTGGATTTGCCTTCTTCCTTCCCAAATTTTGTATTCCGATGCAATACAAACACGAGTTTAGACAGCAGATATATTATGAAATAAAAAACAAAACCAATTAGCGTATCATTCTTAGAATTCTAGAGGCAGCACGACCAACATGAGTTTTTGTGTTTTGGAAAAAGAAATGGAACCCTTTTGCAGAGGGGAACGATGATTAATTCCCCAAATCAGTTTGCCAGCATTTTTCAGGTGAATTGAATGAGTTTTCCAAAGCCAGTCAGCTGGGAGGGGTGGATGAATCCGGAAACAGCCTGTTTCCTTGTGACTAAATCCAACCCACTATCAAAAAGGACTCTTCCATTTCTTTGGCTCTTTTCACATTTTTCTTCTTTATCATGGTTTGTAATGAATTTTCTGATGTGAGCTTTGATTTTGAGGCTGGAATATGGAGTTCAAGACACGGAAGGCATGGTCTTTTTCAATCAGGGCACAGCTGTTGGCTTGCTCCAATTCTGGCTTTCTGTCATGGTTTTGGGTGCCTCAGCCGAGTTTTGGTTTCTTGCGTGGCAATTTCCTAAAGGATTTCTGGGTCTGAGTTGGTTTTGCCTTCTTCCTTCCCAAATTTTGTATTCTGACGCAATACAAACACGAGTTTAGACAGCAGATCCATTATGACAGAAAAAAACAAAATCAATTAGCATGTCATGCTTAGAATTATAGAGGCAGCACGACCAACATGAGTTTTTGTGTTTTGGACAAAGAAATGGAACCCTTTTGCAGAGGGGAATGATAATTAATTCCCCAAATCAGATTACCAGCGATTTTCAGGTGAATTGAATGAGTTTTCCAAAGCCATTCAGCTGGGAGCGGTGGATGAATCCGGAAACAGCCTGTTTCCTTGTGACTAAATCAAGCCCACTATCAAAAAGGACTCTTCCATTTCTTTGGCTCTTTTCACAGTTTTCTTATTTCTCATGGTTTGTAATGAATTTTCTGATGTGAGCTTTGCTATTGAGGCTGGAATATGGAGTTCAAGACACGGAAGGCATGGTCTTTTTCAATCAGGGCACAGCTGTTGGCTTGCTCCGATTCTGGCTTTCTGTCATGGTTTTGGGTGCCTCAGCCGAGCTTTGGTTTCTTGAGCGGCAATTTCCTAAAGGATTTCTGGGTCTGAGTTGGTTTTGCCTTCTTCCTTCCCAAATTTTGTATTCTGACGCAATACAAACACGAGTTTAGACAGCAGATCCATTATGAAAGAAAAAAAAAAAAAACAATTAGCGTGTCATGCTTAGAATTCTAGAGGCAGCACGACCAACATGAGTTTCTGTGTTTTGGAAAAAGAAATGGAACCCTTTTGCAGAGGGGAATGATAATTAATTCCCCAAATCAGTTTGCCAGCGATTTTCAGGTGAATTGAATGAGTTTTCCAAAGCCAGTCAGCTGGGAGGGGTGGATGAATGCGGAAACAGCCTGTTTCCTTGTGACTAAATCAAGCCCACTATCAAAAAGGACTCTTGCATTTCTTTGGCTCTTTTCACATTTTTCTTCTTTATCATGATTTGTAATGAATTTTCTGAAGTGAGCTTTGATTTTGAGGCTGGAATATGGAGTTCAAGACATGGAAGGAATGGTCTTTTTCAATCAGGGCACAGCTGTTGGCTTGCTCCAATTCTGGCTTCTGTCATGGTTTTGGGAGCCTCAGCCGAGTTTTTGTTTCTTGAGCGGCAATTTCCTAAAGGATTTCTGGGTCTGAGTTGGTTTTGCCTTCTTCCTTCCCAAATTTTGTATTCTGACGCAATACAAACACGAGTTTAGACAGCAGATCCATTATTAAAGAAAAAAAAAAAACCAATTAGTGTGTCATGCTTAGAATTCTAGAGGCAGCACGACCAACATGAGTTTTTGTGTTTTGGACAAAGAAATGGAACCCTTTTGCAGAGGGGAATGATAATTAATTCCCCAAATCAGTTTGCCAGCGATTTTCAGGTGAATTGAATGAGTTTTCCAAAGCCAGTCAGCTGGGAGGGGTGGATGAATGCGGAAACAGCCTGTTTCCTTGTGACTAAATCAAGCCCACTATCAAAAAGGACTCTTCCATTTCTTTGGCTCTTTTCACAGTTTTCTTCTTTATCATGGTTTGTAATGAATTTTCTGATGTGAGCTTTGATTTTGAGGCTGGAATATGGAGTTCAAGACACGGAAGGCATGGTCTTTTTCAATCAGGGCACCGCTGTTGGCTTGCTCCGATTCTGGCTTTCTGTCATGGTTTTGGGTGCCTCAGCCGAGTTTTGGTTTCCTGAGCGGCAATTTCCTAAAGGATTTCTGGGTCTGAGTTGGTTTTGCCTTCTTCCTTCCCAAATTTTATATTCTGACACAATACAAACACGAGTTTAGACAGCAGATCCATTATGAAATAAAAAAAAACAAAACGAATTAGCGTGTCATGCTTAGAAATCTAGAGGCAGCACGACCAACATGAGTTTTTGTGTTTTGCAAAAAGAAATGGAACCCTTTTGCAGAGGGGAACGATAATTAATTCCCCCAATCAGTTTGCCAGCGATTTTCAGGTGAATTGAATGAGTTTTCCAAAGCCAGTCAGCTGGGAGGGGTGGATGAATGCGGAAACAGCCTGTTTCCTTGTGACTAAATCAAGCCCACTATCAAAAAGGACTCTTCCATTTCTTTGGCTCTTTTCACATTTTTCTTCTTTATCATGGTTTGTAATGAATTTTCTGATGTGAGCTTTGATTTTGAGGCTGGAATATGGAGTTCAAGACACGGAAGGCATGGTCTTTTTCAATCAGGGCACCGCTGTTGGCTTGCTCCGATTCTGGCTTTCTGTCATGGTTTTGGGTGCCTCAGCCGAGTTTTGGTTTCTTGAGCGGCAATTTCCTAAAGGATTTCTGGGTCTGAGTTGGTTTTGCCCTCTTCCTTCCCAAATTTTGTATTCTGACGCAATACAAACACGAGTTTAGACAGCAGATCCACTATAAAATAAAAAAAAAAAAAACAACCAATTAGCGTGTCATGCTTAGAATGCTAGAGGCAGCATGACCAACATGAGTTTTTGTGTTTTGGAAAAAGCAATGGAACCCTTTTGCAGAGGGGAACGATAATTAATTCCCCAAATCAGTTTACCAGCGATTTTCAGGTGAATTGAATGAGTTTTCCAAAGCCAGTCTGCTGGGAGGGGTGGACGAATCCGGAAACAGCCTGTTTCCTTTGGACTAAATCAAGCCCACAATCAAAAAGGACTCTTGCATTTCTTTGGCTCTTTTCACATTTTTCTTCTTTATCATGGTTTGTAATCAATTTTCTGATGTGAGCTTTGATTTTGAGGCTGGACTATGGAGTTCAAGACCCGGAAGGAATGGTCTTTTTCAATCAGGGCACAGCTGTTGGCTTGCTCCAATTCTGGCTTTCTGTCATGGTTTTGGATGCCTCAGCCGAGTTTTGGTTTCTTGAGCGGCAAGTTCCTAAAGGATTTCTGGGTCTGAGTTGGTTTTGCCTTCTTCCTTCCCAAATTTTGTATTCTGACGCAATACAAACACGAGTTTAGACAGCAGATCCATTATGAAAGAAAAAAACAAAACCAATTTGCGTGTCATGCTTAGAATTCTAGAGGCAGCACGACCAACATGAGTTTTTGTGTTTTGGAAAAACAAATGGAAGCCTTTTGCAGAGGGGAATGATAATTAATTCCCCAAATCAGTTTGCCAGCGATTTTCAGGTGAATTGAATGAGTTTTCCAAAGCCAGTCAGCTGGGAGGGGTGGACGAATCCGGAAACAGCCTGTTTCCTTGTGACTAAATCAAGCCCACTATCAAAAAGGACTCTTCCATTTCTTTGGCTCTTTTCACATTTTTCTTCTTTATCATGGTTTGTAATGAATTTTCTGATGTGAGCTTTGATTTTGAGGCTGGACTATGGAGTTCAAGACACGGAAGGAATGGTCTTTTTCAATCAGGGCACAGCTGTTGGCTTGCTCCAATTCTGGCTTTCTGTCATGGTTTTGGGTACCTCAGCCGAGTTTTGGTTTCTTGAGCGGCAATTGCCTAGATGATTTCTGGGTGTGAGTTGGGTTTGCCTTCTTCCTTCCCAAATTTTGTATTCTGACGCAATACAAACACGAGTTTAGACAGCAGATCCATTATTAAAGAAAAAACAAACCAATTAGCGTGTCATGCTTAGAATTCTAGAGGCAGCACGACCAACATGAGTTTTTGTGTTTTGGACAAAGAAATGGAACCCTTTTGCAGAGGGGAACGATAATTAATTCCCCAAATCAGTTTGCCAGCGATTTTCAGGTGAATTGAATGAGTTTTCCAAAGCCAGTCAGCTGGGAGGGGTGGACGAATCCGGAAACAGCCTGTTTCCTTGGGACTAAATCAAGCCCACTATCAAAAAGGACTCTTCCATTTCTTTGGCTCTTTTCACATTTTTCTTCTTTATCATGGTTTGTAATGAATTTTCTGATGTGAGCTTTGATTTTGAGGCTGGACTATGGAGTTCAAGACCCGGAAGGAATGGTCTTTTTCAATCAGGGAACAGCTGTTGGCTTGCTCCAATTCTGGCTTTCTGTCATGGTTTTGGGTGCCTCAGCCGAGTTTTGGTTTCCTGAGCGGCAATTTCCTAAATGATTTCTGGGTCTGAGTTGGTTTTGCCTTCTTCCTTCCCAAATTTTGTATTCTGACACAATACAAACACGAGTTTAGACAGCAGATCCATTATGAAATAAGAACCAAAACCAATTAGCATGTCATGCTTAGAATTCTAGAGGCAGCACGAACAACGTTTGAAGCTACTAGTAACATGACCAAGGTGAGATTTTTTGTTCTGGAAAATAAATGGAACACTTTGGCTGTGGTGACAGATAGTAATTGCCTCCATTCAGGTTATTTCAGTCAATATTCCACAGGCAGTCAGCTGGAGGGGTGGATGAATCGGGGAATAGCCGCTTTCCTTGCGACTAAATCAAGCCCAATATCATTATGGATTCTTGAATTTTTGGCTTTTTTCTTATTTATCATGGTTTGTAATGAATTTTCTGATGTGAGCTTTGGTTTTGAGGCTGGCATATTGAGTTCATGGCACAAGAGGAATGTTCTTTTTCAATCAGGGCACAGCTGTTGGCTTGCTACAATTCTGGCTTCCTTTCATTGCTTTGGGTGCCTCAGCTGAACTTTGGTTTCTCGAGTGGCAATTTCCTAAATGTTTTCTGGGTCTGAATTGGTTTTGCCTTGATCCTTCCCTAATTTTGTATTCTGACACAATACAAACAAGAGTTTGGACAGAGTAGCCATTATGAAATAAAAAACACAATACATAAGCGTTTGAAGCTTATACATCTACAGGTAACACGAGCAAGGTGAGTTTTTGTGTTTTGGAAAATCAAATGGAACACTTTGGCTGAGGTGACAGATATTAATTGCCTCCAAACTCAATTTCACTGCATTTTTCAGGTTAATTCAGTCAGAATTCCACAGGCAGTCAGCTGGAGGGGTGGATGAATCCGGGAACAGCCGGTTCCCTTGCGACTAAATCAAGCCCAATATCATTATGGATTCTTGCATTTCTTTGGCTTTTTTCTCTTTTTTCTTATTTATCATGGTTTGTAATGAATTTTCTGATGTGAGCTTTGGTTTTGAGGCTGCAATATGGAGTTCAGGGCACCGGAGGAATGGTCTTTTTCAAACTGGGCACAGCTGTTGGCTTGCTCCAATTCTGGCTTGCTGTCATTGGTTTGGGTGCCTCAGCTGACTTTTAGTTTCTTGAACGGCAATTTCCTAAATGTTTTCTGGGTCTGAGTTGGTTTTGCCTTCTTCCTTCCCAAATGTTGTATTCTGATGCAATACAAACAAGACTTTGGACAGAGTACCATTATGAAAGAAAAAAAAAATTGGCCTTTCTGGAGTAGAAATCTACAGGTAACACGACCAAGATGAGATTCTGTGTTTTGGAAAAAGACATGGAACACTTTGGCTGAGGTGACAGATATTAATTGCCTCCAAACCGAGTTTCACTGCGAATTTCATTTTAATTCTGTCAGAAGCCACAGACCCTCAGCTGGGAGGTGTGGAAGAATCTGGAAACAGACATTAACAAGGGAGTAAATCAAGCCCAATATCACTAAGAACTCCTGCATTTCTTTGGATTTTTTCTGATTTTTCTTATTTATCATGGTTTGTAATGAATTTCCTGATGTGAGGTTTGGTTTTGAGGTTGCAATATCGAGTTCAGGGGACAAGAGGAAGGTTCTTTTTCTTTTTTTTTTTATCTTTTATTTAATGAATATAAATTTCCAAAGTACGACTCATGGGTTACAATGGCTTTCCCCCCCATACGGTCCCTCCCACCCACAACCCTCCCCTTTCCCACTCCCTCTCCCCTTCCATTCTCATCAAGATTTATTTTCGATTATCTTAATATGCAGAAGATCAGCTTAGTATACTTTAAGTAAGGATTTCAACAGTTTGTTCCCACACAGAAACATAAAGTGAAAAATAATAGATGATTTTTTTTTAAATGATGATGAAATCAGATCAGACCTATTGTCATGTTTAATCCCAGTGAGAGTCAAGTTGGGAATTGATAATTTCTTTTTTTTTTTTTTTTTACAGAAGATCCGTTTAGTATACATTAAGTAAAGATTTCAATCGTTTGCACCCCCATAGAAACACAAAGTGAAATATACTGTTTGAGTACTCGTTATAGCATTAAGCCTCAGTGTACAGCACATTAAGGACAGAGATCCTACATGAGGAGTAAGTGCACAGTGACTCCTGTTGTTGACTTTACAAATTGACACTCCTGTTTATGGCATCAATAATCTCCCTATGCACCAGTCATGAGTTTCCAAGGCTATGGAAGCCCCTTGAGTTCTCCGACTCTTATCTTGTTTAGACAAGGTCATAGTCAAAGTGGAGGTTCTCTCCTCCCTTCAGAGAAAGGCACCTCCTCTTTGAAGACCTGTTCTTTCCACTGGGATCTCACTCACAGAGATCTTTTTGCCAGAGTGCCTTGGCTTTCCATGCCTGAAATACTCTCATGGGCTTTTCAGCCAGATCCGAGTGCCTTTAGGGCTGATTCTGAGGCCAGAGTGCTATTTAGGACATCCGCCATTCTATGAGTCTGCTGAGTATCTCACTTCCCATGTTGGATCACTCTCCCCTTTATTTATTCTATCGGTTAGTGTTAGCAGATACTAGACTTGTTTATGTGCTCCCTTTGACTCTTAGTCCTTTCATTATGATCAATTGTGAACTGAAATTGATCACTTGGAATAGTGAGATGGCATTGGCACATGCCACCTTGATGGGATTGAATTGGAATCCCCTGGTATGTTTCCAACTCTACCAATTGGGGCAAGTCAGCCCGAGCATGCCCCAAATTATACATCTCTTCCCTCTCTTATTCCCACTTTTATGTTTAACAGGGATCATATTTCAGTTAATTTTCAACACTTAAGAATAACTGTGTGATAATTACAGAATTAAACCAGTCATATTAAGTAGAACAGACAAAAAAAAATACTATGAGGGATAATATATTAAGTTGTCCATTAGCAGTCAGGGCTATGCTGATCAAGTCACCATTTCCCATAGTGTCCATTTCACTTCAGGAGGTTTCCTTTTTGGTGTTCAGTCAGTTGTCACCGATCAGGGAGAACATATGGTATTTGTCCCTTTGGGACTGGCTTACTTCACTCAGCATGATGTGTTCCAGATTCCTCCATTTTGTTGCAAATGACTGGATTTCGTTGTTTCTTACTGCGGTATAGTATTCTAAAGAATACATATCCCATAATTTCTTTATCCAGTCAACTATTGATGGGCATTTAGGTTGGTTCCAGGTCTTGGCTATTGTGAATTGTGCTGCAATAAACATTAGGGTGCAGACCGCTTTTTTCTTTATCAATTTAAACTCCTTTGGGTAAATTCCAAGGAGTGGGATGGCTGGGTCGAATGGTAGGGTTATATTCAGGTTTCTGAGGAATCTCCAGACTGATTTCCATAGTGGCTTGACCAGTTTGCATTCCCACCAACAGTGGGTTAGTGTCCCTTTTTCCCCACATCCTCGCCAGCATCTGTTGTTGGTAGATTTCTGTATGTGAGCCATTCTAACCGGGGTGAGGTGAAACCTCATTGTGCTTTTTGATTTCCATTTCCCTGATTGCTAGTGACCTTGAACATTTTTTCATGTGCCTGTTGGCCATTTGGATTTCCTCTTTTGAAAAATGTCTATTGAAGTCCTTGGCCCATCTCTTAAGTGGGTTGTTGGTTTTGTTTTTGTGGAGTTTCTTGATCTCTTTGTAGATTCTGGTTATTAACCCTTTATCTGTTGCATAGTTTGCAAATATTTTTTCCCATTCTGTTGGTTGTCTCTTCACTCTCCTGACTGTTTCTTTTGCAGTACAGAAACTTCTCAATTTGATGCAATCCCAATAGTTGATTTTGGCTTTGACTGTCTGTGCCTCCCGGGTCTTTTCCAGAAATTCTTTGCCTGTGCCAATATCTTGAAGGGTTTCTCCAATGTTCTCTAATAACTTAATGGTGTCAGGACGTAGATTTAGGTCTTTAATCCATGTTGAGTGGATTTTTGTGTAAGGTGTAAGGTAGGGGTCTTGCTTCATGCTTCTGCACGTGGAAATGCAGTTTTCCCAGCACCATTTATTGAATAGACTGTCCTTGCTCCAGGAATTAGTTTTAGATCCTTGATCAAATATAAGTTGGCTGTAGATGTTTGGATTGATTTCTGGTGTTTCAATTCTGTTCCATTGGTCTATCCATCTGTTTCTGTACCAGTACCATGCTGTTTTGATTACAACTGCCCTGTAGTATGTCCTGAAGTCTGGTATTGTGATGCCTCCGGCTTTGTTTTTGTTGTACAAGATTGCTTTAGCTATTCGAGGTCTCTTGTGCCTCCATATGAATTTCAGCATCATTTTTTCTAGATCTGAGAAGAATGTCTTTGGTATCTTGATTGGGATTGCATTGAATCTATAAATTGCTTTTGGGAGAATGGACATTTTGATGATGTTGATTCTTCCA